GATTCAATGAGTGTTACCCCATACTTTGGAAGTGGATGTTGCTAGGAAGCTTCCTCATGTTCACATTCAATGTATTATGTATTTTCTCCTTCCCCTCTCCCTATATAACTCAGGCCATATGGCCATTGTAACACATCTTTGAATATTGAAAACCATTTACTCTTTGAGTATTATTAAAATAGTGTGATGCTATTTTAGCCAAACTCCTAATTCTATATCTTAAGAGTGGTTATCTTAAGTGTGAGTTTTAGATTCTAGATATTTGATTAAGTGTGTAATATCTTAATTGAATTCTAGATTCAAACCCCAAGTTAGGATAAGAGTGTGTAATATCTCCTAACACCAACTTGGTTTTATCCATCCGTGATATTTCTTCCATTTCATATCCCTCCATTTCTCCTTCTTAATCCTATTCTTTTTCTTCCATAAAATACCAAAAAGAACTCCTAAAACACCCTCCATACTTTCGCCCACTATTTCCCTTCCATTTTCCTCCGCACATCCGCCACAAAATTATCAACTTGATAAGACCCCCGGTTTACCCCTAACATCATGTAATATTGGCCCATTCTTGCATACCTTATCAAAGTCCATTAAATCAAAGTGGTGCATTGGGAACACTGTGTCTCACCAGAAATTAAGTTTACTATGGGAGAACAGGCTGCAAGCAGAAACAAATAAAAATAGAAGAGCGGGCATTCAAATTGTGGAAAACAATTGACCTTTAGGCATTGTGACATTGGTAAATTTAGCTAATCAGAGAAGAGTGAGTGACAGACCACACGAACCTTACTCATACAAACTCCAGACTCACGTGTCACACTTTCGACAGGGATTTATCTTTCAGTAATGTTCCTCAATGAACCACATTGGGAAGACGCCATGCTTATATCTACGTATCTCACCTCTGCCTCACTATATGCTCACACCAGTTTCTCAGGAGCATCCCTAAATATTACAAACAAAGGAAGAAAATCAACCTAGGCAGGTAGAAAATCTCAAATAAATGACAACATGGGCAGGCGGAAAAACTCAAATAATGATGCATCTTAATTGCGAGTAATTTGTAGGAAATTTACAAACCTGGCGTTACACCATTAACTGTAGCCAGGTCGAACTCGTCATGTGAAAAACCAGTAACTCGATTGCAGCTAAGCAGAAGAAACTCAAATACAAATAAAAATTGTGTGTTGGACGCCATCCAGTGAATCTGACTGCCTTTAGATTCAGAGTTATGCATAAAAAACGTGGTTTGTTTTTGCCTATTTATTTACCTTCTGTAATGTGTGAGTGATTTACTTCAAAGGGAGGCAGTATATCTTTGCCTTAATTCAACATAGAACTGTGAGTGATGACATGCAAAATTTAAAATTAATATCCCTAAACCAAATCAAAGGAACGGGGAACATGGGTCTTTTGCGTGAAAAAATAAATCTTTGCTTCAATTCAACATGGAATTGGGTGTGAAGACATGCAAAAATTATATAATCAACATCCCTAAACCAAATTAAAGGGGGGGGGGGTGAAATTACTTGGGCGATGACGAACGGGAGCAGCAGTAGAGAGGAAGTATTGTAAACCAATTCTACCAGAGATTGATGAAGGAAGGAAAAGGCGATTGCACCAAAACCTGCATCTTGCCCGTCAAGCTTGAAATAATTAGGGGAAAATTTTAGGATTTACTTGATGCCAAGTTGTAGAAGAAGAAGAAGAATACCTGTAGGTGTAGTCGTTGCAGCTGGTGGTCTTGCTGGGCCAACCACGTCAATCGCCTCTAGGCAACGCCATAGGCAAAATTGAGCAAAAAAACAAACCACCATAATCGTCGCCTGAATCACTTCAACCTGTTTCTTCGTTTGTAAGAGAGGTCGTGAATGCAAGGACATCAGAGGCACGTCATGACTTCGGCAATGTCGTTCACCCCATAGGAAAAATCGATTGAAAGAGGTGATTGACGTGGGGGGATGGCCAACGATAACTTATATATAGGCGTTTCTGACAACCCCACAAAGTATGAAAATAAATTATTAGTAACCTATATTAGGGTATTCACTTACAAATAGATTCTATAGTATAAATACTCCAAATCTTAGTAAGTAGTTATGGCCTCTTTCAATCTCAACCTTGAAAAGAAAGCAAATCAAAATGGTTTACCAGGAATGTCAGTGCTCCACCACAAACTAAACAAAATTTCCAAAGAGCCGCAATCTTTGCTGTTCCATATCATGATACTGGCTCTTGTTGTCAGCAGACCAAAATTCTTAAAATAAGACTTCACCTTCAACAAAGACTCCTTCAAAGAAATGAGCAGTGTTCCCTTTGCTGCTAACATGCATGACTATAAGAAATATAAGGCAAACAACCAAAACATACAATTAGTATACAAACTTAACCAGAGTTTAAAGCACACATAATCAAGATATTAAAAAGCTAGCATAAACTAACTCCTCACCAATTGAAATCATGCCACGTCCTAATTATTAATTCCTTTATTCTTCTTCGGGTTGGAAGTATCCCATTACCATGAAAGCCAAACCTTGATTGTATAACTACCCATTTTAAAGACACCATTTTAAAGACACCATGCTTCACAGATGACATGTATTAAGGGGCTACATAGTATTCATTAATCAAATTAAAGGATATTAAACTCAAAAGGACAATCAAATGGTTAGCAGTTGAGAGAAAAACATGGCATTGACACCGAATAACACCATATATTTCCTTTACCTTCTACTTGTGCAGAATATGATGCAATTCCTTCCCCTATTTGCAGCACCACAATTTTCAATTGAATCATATCATATTTTGGGAAATGAAATGTTATTGCAAAATTCTATGGAATAATTTATTCTTAACAAAACTTTGAATCCTGAGCGAGTCAATGTACCTAGCCATGACCCAGAAGATAGTTACGTTGACGGTCATGCCGAGGCGTGTTGTGGACGCTCATTGCAGGACATGTGGAGGACCACTCAAGAACCCGATTTAGACTTAGAGGTCGTCATTTTGAGAGAAGTTACAGATTCAGGGTCAGCTACGACAACTACTGCTGAAGTGAAGAGGGTGATAGTTCATATATACTCCAGAAAACCTTTTCATCTCCTATTCTTTTCAATTTAAGAAACTATGTAAACACTCTATTAATACGAATTAACTCCACCTACACCCGTTACCAACACCCAATACAGCAGCATAATCTTCTATGTGTTGTGTGCCAAAAAGCTTCAATCCTGTGCAAGAACTCCAATCGTCAACCTGACTTACCAAATTCTAAACTAAAACCTATGAATCCACAAACAGTCTTATGTGCTCTACCCAAGTCAACTGCTTTCCCAGCTTCAAAAACCTGACTTGTACTTGATTCAAATCTACCTTATTACCCTGGAAACACAAAACCAGCCCACAGAAACAGTGAGTCCTAATAACTTCTAAAAAAGTCAATCATATAAAGCCCTTGTGAAGTGTTTCTAAAGCTGCTGAAATCCCCTAGTCAATTCCACAGTTACATCTGATATTGCAGCCCCTCAACATCACATATAGCAGCCTCTCAACCTCAACTTTTGCAGCTCCTCAGAATCTATGAATAAGCTGCAAAACTTGGATTTATAATATACCAACTAACTATTTCCACCAACAACTCATCTTGTCCATGTGTCTTTTATGTTAGACCAAGTTTTAAACAGTTTTAGGTGTGCTGAAAAGATAGAAAAAGACTTACAAAAAGAATAAGGAGATGATCGAGTCTCCATCATATGATTCATGAATAGAGTGTGAAGACTTTAGCTAGCAGGCTAGGGAAATACTACGTTGTTTTTGGATATAATTCATGATGATAAGCAGGATGTGCTTCTTGGCTTTATATCTGCATGTAGGAGCATACATATAAACTCACAGTGGATAAAATTGGCAATTCGTGATACCATTGGATACATGAGGATTAGCGGGAAGCGTGGGTGCAATGGAAAAATATTAACAATAAACCAGACTGAAGGATGCCAATGAGTAGAACAGAAGGTATACATACCAAGGAGTATCATTTTGATTAAGCTATTATAGCATCATAATAGAGGTTTCTATTTCCATGAATTATATATAGTCCGCCCAAAAAATCAAACAAATTAGGAAGTTCTACTAAGTAAACACCACTGTAGAAAAACATTAAAGAATGTAGAAAGCTCTACTAAGTAAACACCACTGTAAAAAAACATTAAAGAATGAACCAATTGTAGAACATATAAATTCTCAATATGAGTGCAAGCTTAGAAAAACCCTGACACGAAACCTCAAGGCTGCCATAAATGGCAAGTGGTGTCTAGCACCAATGGGTTGAATAAAAGGTATACATATCAAGGGGCTGAGTATCGTTTTGATTAAAGCGCTGTCATAGCATCATAAGAGAGGTTTCTATTTCCATGAATTATTATTAATCTGCATAAAAAAGCAAACAAATTAGCCAATTACACACTGATAGAACGGAAATCCTCACAAATCAGCCAAAAAGCCCCCAACAAATTGTATGAAATACTCAGCCATGGTCAATTACACTCCAACAATGCTCGCGTGAATACCTAAAAGCTTTCCCACTCTCTTCTTCTAATGAATGTTAATCATTACACATCCTAATAATTGGAATTCAAGGATCCTAAACCCATAGCCGTTTCAATTGTAAACTCTTATCAATACCATCAAATATATAATAAATGCAAAAGTTAACCCAAAAGACTCTTGAAACTGTGGATTCTATGCCGGAGAGGGATATTGGCGGGCTTAGTCGGGCGTAGAAGTGCGATGAGAAGAAAGAAGCTGAACATTCCATGCAGGCGAGGGATACGGGCGAGCTTAGTCAGACGTTCTATGCCGTGTGATGAGGAAGAAGCTGACCGGCATAGGGATTTTCGCCCTTCAGTTCGGTGCTTCAAACCTAAACATCCGTTAAACCTCCTGTTCTCCTCTGCATTTAACCCTCTTGATGACTAAGCGTAAAAAGACACATAGAACGCCACGTAGGATGACACATGTCGTAACAACAATTAAACCGCTCTGTAAATTCATGCAGAGAATTGATACTTTTTATATAGACAAACTAACAATGAGGAGATAAATTCATGCATCTCATTTCAATTTTAGATTTTGTATTCCCCTTTTTGTTGATGAAAAAACACCATTTTTTTGGTGTTCCCCTTAGTGGCCATTCAATAGAGATTTGACGCACATAATAGAGATTTGAACCCTAATCCGTGACAATTCAAAAGAGAAACAATACCTTTTCTGTATTTTAAACCATAGCACCATCATCTAGCAGGATTAGCTCCTTTGACGCATGGCCGTCTCTTCTCCCATGGTCCTTTTAGTTATAATCAACAAAATCATTAAAGAAAAATACAACACACAATAGATGAGAAGACACAGTTAAGAACTTACAAAGCACATCTCTAACCATAGCTCAGCTCAACTGACACTCTCATAACATCGAACATATAAACTGCAAAAAATCTCCCTATGGACGTTAATTGCAAGAAGATTGACAAAATAAAAGAAATACCTAACCAACATCAATATTATCAAAGTTCTCAATTTCAATTATTTCATTAATATCAAATGAAACATCAATAATATCAACACTCTCAATTTTCATAGCTTGAAGAGTTTGATTCTCATTTCTTGAAAAAAGTAAATATTTTATAACAAACTTATCAAGAGCCCCTTTTTGAAATTTGTTTAAACTTTCTAATTCTATTACTCATTTTAAATCAAAGCATTCAAGAACAAAATGATAAACTTAGGAAACAAACTGGAACTTAAATACGTGAAAGGTCTACCAAGTCCATTTAAATTCTGAAAAAAAAAAAAATAGTCATCAAACAAATTATTCAATAGTCAATAAATTGAATTTGGATTAATTACTAAAATTTGAAGTTAGAAAAAAGAAACATTACAACTATCGTACTGACAAAGGAGACCAAAGTGATGACTGAAGATGGAAGCACCTCAAGCTCTCAATAACAAAGCAGTCACATTCTCACATACGCTCGATTTTCCAAAAATGTGGATGTGCCATATTTGAAAAAAATAGAATTGAGGCCTTGAGGGTGGGAGAGGGAACAAATATGAGAAAGTATATTTAATTGTAGGTCTGTTTGAAAAATATTGAAAGACTAAGATAATATAAGGGGTATATTTTGAGATTTTGAGATGATACCTAAAAGCCGTTTGGCGTTCATCATTTCATCTTTGCCCCTTTTCTCCTTGTGAGCATATCTAACTTTGAAGGAGGGTCGGCCCTGGTCTGAGAAGACATGTCGCCGGTTAGTGGTGGCGACAGCGGCAGAGGCCCTGTTACGTCTCTTCTCCGAACCAGCGATAAGTTGAGGATGAACGGACACAAGAAAGAACTGTGAAAAGAAATGAAGAATTGATAAAAGAACCGGCTGCAATTAGGGAATGTGCAAAGTCTTGTTAAATTAATTTCAATATGATTGCTGGCAGTCCAACTTAGCAAGATTGAAGCCACGTCATCTGCCATGTGTCAACCCCACAGCCAAAGAACTCTACTTTATATATATAAATGCAAGTTCAGCAAAATGCAAATACGGAGTACTTCAAATCTTCAATGCTAAAAAATTCAGTGTGCAGAATTTTTTAGGTGCACTTTGACTTTTTAGGTCAAATTTTACAAAACTTTGACCACATTGTAAAACATGTATTTAGTTATGATGTAAATTTAATAAAATTAGGTGCATTTTAAGATTTAGTTTTCATATATCTTCTTTTTATAACATTTATTTATTTAAAACTATATTTATTTAGGGATGGATGGCATATATAGCAAGAATTGCCTAAAAATTATCAAATCTTTCGTCCCAGAATCACAGTCCTGATTCAAAAAAAAAATATCCATCTTGCTTGTTATCCTATTTGGCCTGTCCCAGTTTATCTTGCTCACACAGATTTCACTTTCTTAGTCTATGTCAAGTCAGTGAGCAACATAAATTGAGACAAAGTATAATTACTACTACCTATTACGGATTAAATTTCAAAATGATCCGTAATAGTGTAGTAATTGGCAAGGAGGGATGGGCAAGCCAGGCATAATGATCAGAGCATGAGAGAAAAAAACTGCATTCCTAAGGTTAGGAGTCCGCCAGAACAGCCTAAGGAGTGATTGCAG